GACTGCTGTGACATGGATCATTTGTCTAAATACCACCAACGCAATCCAATCGTACAGTATCTTCTAAATGAATTCAAATATGAATAATTCTGCTTTTACCATTCAATGTTTCTCTGTTAAACCATCAACCAACAGCTATGGTCACACAGTTCCTTTATGTTCTCTCACCTTAGAACACAAACATCTATTTCACTGAGAAATAACCATAAGACTCCAGCCCTCGCCCATATTTCACCTGGGCCATGTTAGGAATACGGACAGCCTGGGGCGCTCACATCAACAATGCCGCATGGTTAGGGCAAACATTACATGGCTGGCACTGCATGTGTGCATTTATATCCATGACTGAAGTGTGTGTGCCCTGCCACAGCTGTACTCTGCATAATTCATGATGTGTCAGGATTCTCCACTCTCTAGTCTCTGTCTGTCAGCACTGCATGTCCCTGCTAGTCCGTTCACCCTGACTGGTAATGACAAGCAAGCGAGCGAGCGAGCACGCACACACACCTAAACAAAAAAAACCAAAAACACCACACACGCACACACATGCACAGAGCACCAGGCTAACAAACAGCAAACCATTAGCACGGCGTGCATAAATGTGTGTGTGATTGTGCTCAGGGGCGTGCACGTTTATCCACACTGTCCTGATGAGCTTCTGTTTGGTGTCTGATGACAGGCCGTCAGTCTGCCGCTGCTGCAGCAGGAGAACTGGAGTCTCTGGGGACGCCTCTAAAAGCACACCGGGTTCTGGAGATGGTGAGCGCAGACTTAGTGAAAGCTTTTCCATGTTCCTCCACCAGACTCTGCTTCATCGTCTCCTCCTGCAGCTCTGTCTCCTCCCTCCTCTTTTCTGCGTCCAAATGCAGGAAACAACCCGTGTACCAGCCCTGGAACCACTCATCTCTCTCTGTGCAATCCTTTTTTTTCAAATCTGCATCTGTCTGTTATTTTCCTGACATGGCTGGATCTTCATTTCCACTTCAGCTCCTCTCTCCTCCCCTTCATATTGTTACCACTCTCTCGCTTTCTCCCATCTCATGCTTCTCAAATTGTGGACCTGTCACTCCTCAAACGTCTCTATCTCCTCAACCGAAACTGTTGTTCTCAATCCCCCTCATTTTATTCCACCTCCTCCGTGTGAAGCGCATCCTATAGTACATTAACCTCGGCCCATCTCTGTACACTCCTCCTGTAGCTCTCCCTCACTGGGAGCTCCTGTCACTTTGACGAAACAGTTGGAAGGACCCTCATCCTCCCTGATTGACTGCTGAAGTCTCCAACCAGTGCCAGGGGCTGTATCCATGCAGCTGGGACCCTAACAGTGGTCGTGCACTATAAAAAACACAAGGAAAAAGGCCCTTGACAATAAAATCTGTCACTGAGCTGATTTGGTTGGGATGGAGAGGACCTGTAGGACGGAGGAGAGACAGACGAAGACACGGCAGCCGCAGCCTCCACGGTGACGAACGTCGCTGGAGGCCCAACGACACCACATGTGCTTTTGCATGCGTGTCAGTGACAGGTCACGCCGTGCATCTGTGGAGCTAGAATTTTAATCGGAATCAGTACATAACGGAGGATGGAGAAATGTTTTTTTGACTAAGGAACAATGTAGTGAATATAAATGAAAAACAGTCTTGAGGAAATGCTCAAAGTTTCCACACCAGTCCTCTGCTGACGAATAGATCTTCAGAACCAATTAACATTGGGCTAAAATTTGGGATAAAATCCGGTTCCATTTCTTCTACTCTGAAGATGTTTTAGATTGTGGAGACTTTCATGAGTGGAGCGTCAGAGATGAGGACAGCAGGAGAGATGCAGAAGTCTGAAACTCTTTGAAAGGGTAATGAAATGTGTGATTGCCTGGCCCCTGTGCCATTACCAAAGAGCCAGGTTCTGAGAACCTTTTCTGCAGCAAAATAGGGAGGAGGATGAGCCATTATGGTTCAGGTGCACTGACATGTAGCCATAAAGTTCCTTCTGTTGAACACACACACCGACACACACACCTTTTTTCCCTATTTCAGGGCAGGGGGAAATTCATTTATTTTGAGATGGGCAGTAAAAAGGACGCCTCATCTTTATGGCAAAGCCCAGTTTGTCTGACTGGAACACACATGTACACACAGACACCGAGAGGACGGCGATGACTCGACTTTCTCGGCCACTTGTCTCCTGAAGGACACTCCACGCAGGGTCGGAACTGGGTTATGAAAAGGCTGCTGCTGCAGATTAAACATATGGCGCTGGAAGAGGAGAACCAGCAGGAACTCAGTCCTTCTTGGTTTTTCTTAATCACAAACTACACGACCTTTTATTGCACTGTTGTCTGACAAACTATTCACTGGGCCTGTGCTGTCAACACATGCTGATTTATTGGCTACTACTAGATATTTGTGCGTTAGAAATGTGTGAAGCTACAACAAGGACGTGGATGAGGAATAAAGAGGGAATGCTGCTTTGATTAATACACGCTGTGGTATAGGGGAATTCCCATACTGCTGCGACTGCAGATCAATCCTCTGTCAGGGCAGAACAGAAGGAACAAGATCATTATTCAGCCCGGATTACAGACCCGCACAGTCCGACACGTTCACATATGCACACGTGAACTTTCACGAAACACACACACATACATATATATATTCACACACACACATACTGAGTGAAACTAAAACAAGGTAGGAGCATTGGAAAAATGTCTCAGCATTTACAGATCAGCTGCTTCGTCGAGGTCGTGGGCAGAGTAAGAATAATGAGTGCATTTTCAAACCAGAGCACAAATACACGCCGGCCACAAATCACAAAAACTCTACTCTTTTCATCCACATAAATGTAAACGGCCACCTGACATTTGCCCCCCTCCGCCCCCCTCTTTCCAGCACCCGTTCTATCCTGTCATCATTTGCTCTCTGAGTGCTGGGTTCTTGACCTCTCTTTGAGGACACAAACACCACAGTGGAACCGGAGTGAACTCTCACCTGTCTCACATCTCTTCCCAGTAAATCCTTGCTGGCACACACAGTTGTTGGGTGAGATGCAGGTTCCGCCATTCTGACAGAGTCCGTCACACATAGCTGGAGGTAGACCACAGACGAAGAAGAAGAAGAAGAAGGAGAAGAAGCATTGCTCATTAAGATTAACGAGCTTTAACAGTGTAATTAGAGCAGCAGCACCACTCACATGTATTTGCATACAGAACAAGGGCTAATTTAATCTTGTGATTCATTGTGTTCTAAGGTGATTAATGCATTTCATCAAGGTTAATTTGAAGACTGTTCATTATCCATAGATGGGCTATTAGTTAATGTGGTCCTAAATAAGAAGAAGAAGTTATTGCAGTTGACAGGATTAAATGGAAATAAATGTAATCCAAAATCTAATTAGACACAGTCCAGGTAAATATAGCATCTTATCGTCTGTAAACAATTTATCACAACAAAAGTGTCACCTCCCCCACTATAATTTTCCCATTAATAAGGTTGCAGGAATTAAATTCAATTTTTTTTTTTATAGGAAAATAATCAGAGAGGGCAACACACGTTAGAGCTAAAAGTAAATATTAGGCGTCACTTTTTATTAACTATTCCGTTTTTTGTTTTTACTATTAATAGTATTTTATCTGCAGCATGTGTGGCACAATCAGTTAGAACGTTTGATTGTAAACTGAGAGACTGATGGTTCAAATCCACCTGATGACGGGGATTCAAATTTCCTAATTTTAGTTCCATAGTTCTATAGTGTAGTGGTTAGCATAGCATGCCTTACACTTAGACGATCCAGGGTTTGAACACCAAAGGCACCACATATCCCTAATTCCATGTGGCGGTGACAACCACACATTTAATGGCGCCTCCTGTGGCGGCCTTTGCGCCAGCTCACATTTTGAATTTCCCCAATGTAAGAAATGTAATATTTCGTGCGTAACTAAATGTATTTGAAAAGCATTTTTTCTAGTCTGACTCCACATACCACCTAGGGTTGGCATGTTACCTACGAAGCATGGCATCGAACACACAACTCTCTGGGTGTAAGTCAACAGCACGACCCAATGAGCTAGAGCTCATTAGGCTCAAAAGACCATTTTATCTCAGTGGGAGTCACTGGTTAAGACTGATGCTGATGCTGTTTTATGTTTTTAAACGTAGCTGGATTTCAACCCACAACCTCCTGTGTGAAAGATGAATCCTCTATCCACTGAACCAAGTCTGCCAGCCACAGCTTTCTTAAGCATTTTTTAGAAAATTTGGAGATGGAAATCTATTGGGAAAACAATTAGCATTACAGTCTATGTCCTAGTTACTTTATCATGAAGTGTTCGGAGCCACAGGAGACCTGACAAGTGTTTTCAGACACCGTGTAGCACTGTCCAATAAGGAGAAGTCTGGTCCCTTCGGTAAATAGCTTTCTAATCACAATGATAAATTAACCTGTTAGCATCAAGTCTATTTTCTGCTCCGGGCACAAACCGAAATAGAAGTGCGAACATGGAGGAGCACCCATTATCACACGGGGATTTTGGAGCACACCTGCACGACAAAAGTCTTTAAATGGGGCATTTTCTCAGGACATTCCTGGAATATTCCGTTAAAACCTTGGTTTTACAGGGAATATCTGGAACTTTACGACCCAGTACATCTGATACTGGTGGTTAAATCAGTCGTCTCTCTGAGGTGACATTGATATTGAAAATGAAAGAATGAGCGGCGCCTACCTTTGCACACCGTCCCGTTACCAGTGTAGCCTGGTTTACAGGAGCAGCTGTGGCCTCCAACCATGTTGAAGCACAAGGCGTTCTGGTCACAGTTGTGAAGTCCACTCAGGCACTCGTCATGCTCTGCAAGACAATGGACGTGGATCAGGATATTAGTGACAAAAGTAAACAAACAGCGGCGCCACACTTCATGCCTTAACCACTATATGAGAGAGAAACCTGGATAATTGTTATCATTTTCAATATAATGGTTTTTATTTTCTTGTTAAAAAAATATAAGAAAATACTGCGTCTGAGGTAAAGGAGGCGACAGTTACTCCTCCCACCACGGCTGTCTTGAGATGTTTTGCTGTAATTTGTTGTTTCAGTGTGGCTGTAAAGGAGGAAAGCCTTTGAAAATCATCTGATTTTTATAATTACTGAAAATAAGGTCTTTTGTTTGTTCAGTGAAGAATCCCCAGCCAGCGAGGACTCGTTCCTGCCCTTAATTGGTATAATTGGATCCTAGGAACCGACACTAACATAAGCACCAGTACTGATTAGAAAAGCACTAAGAAAAAGTTCTCTTTGATGCCGAGTTGGAACAAATGATGTTGGCGTGTTGATTCAGTGACACACTTCACTGTCAGAGGTCTGAGCCCGTGATGCTGCACTGAGCTGGAGTGGCAAATAATTATTACCCTCTGTTTGGACAACCATTTAATAGGAGAGTGAGAAGTGGTAAATAAGGATGAGAATAAAACAGTTCACAAAACAGGGCTGACTGTAGTAAAAGACAAATATGAAAGAGCACAGACCGCGTTGATACAGATAGTTGTTATGGAAAGGTGTTTTATGGTACAAATTTTAGGTAAACTTTTTTTTAGCTTAAAATACCATTTCAACACCCAGCATGCATTGGTGGAGGCTTCAACTTCAGATCACAGTAGACTCCCACAGTGCAGTGCAGGTAAGTCTACAGCTGCCAAGGTGACTGACACGATTGTCACATGTATGGTTTAGGTCTGTAGACCGACTAATATTGTTAAGGACAACAACTTCACTCGTTTCCAAATCAGCTTTTGATGCCACTGTCAAGATGCACTGTAACGACATGATTCCATCAACTACGTTAAGTTTTGAGCTTTACTTTTGTATATTTTTATTGACATTTTTCCATATTTATACTTCAATAATTTGAATTGGTCACAGTAACAACAGGTGTGGAACCAAACATCCACCTGCTGCTATTTGTCCTATGTTCCAGTAACATATATAAAATAGACTTTACCATCGTATCTAGGAAGTATTCAATTCCCGATTCATCCACAGCTACTGTAAACTCAACATTAAAATATCTTGGTTAAGTGCATCACTAATTAGAAAAAGATAAACTGAAGGTCTGGACTGTTCACACATAAACAATGTTTTATGTGAAGGTATTTTTTTTTTTTTTTGTTTCTACTGAGGGTTTGTTTTCCAAACCAAACACAACCCAATGGTAAAATGCTCAGAGGCCTTTTATTTAGAATAAACAGGTTGATGTGAACAGCAGTTACTGTATTCACTGAAGCTTTAAATGAGCATTTGTCATCCTACACCAGACCTAATAAATCCTCCCAGGCTTCGGAGAGACCATGCTCTGGTTGAAACAAAGCGAGATGTTCCTTTGTTCCTAATCCCCGCTGCAATCACAGCGCTAATTAAGGCATTTGAAATTATCGTCCAGTGTTGGTTTGAGAATTGAGAAACACACACAGAAGACAAAAAAGAGGAATCCCGTCAGTGATGGAAACGGGTGCATGATCATCAATTACTAAATCAACGTACTGCTGAATACATAAAACTGATTTAGAGACTCTCAAATCTGGAGAGCTTTTTTTCAAATACATAACTAAAGAGTGTTCTTTCATTTCTTAATCTCATTTTTAACAAAATATGGATGGAGGGAACCATTCCTAGAAGACAATGAGTGCAGAGAATGCTTTATTACGCATAGTAAAGTGTCCCCAACCACTGGTTGGAGGCCCGATACCAGACCGCAGAAAAAAAATCATTTCTTTAAAATTTTGTTTTGAATTTCTTCAAATTCACGTTTGTCTGCGTTTTATTTTGAAAACAATCTCCGTTCTGTTCACTAGGCTCAGGCTAACTCATAAAACTTTTATTGGTTATATGAATTGCATATAATATTAATAGAATTGAAAGTGCCCTATATAAAGTAATTATAATATTTACATTATATATGTAATAATTTAATTATATATGAGGAACTTTATTGTATATTATTGTGTGTATTATCATTATCTCTCACACACTTTAGCTGCCTACGATCTCCAAGTCAGCCTGGATTTGCACATTTTCCCTCCTGCCCCAGGTACAGTGTTTAACATTGAAGCACTGCCTTATACCTCATCATAGATACGACTATAATAAACCACCGTAGATGGACAGAAGACGAATTATCCAAACAATCTGTGTCTATTTTTAAGCTATCCAGTGTATATACTGTAGAGCGGAGGAAAAACATCCTCCAGGCAGACGCTGGGATCTTCCGACTGAATGGACACAAAGACATTTGTTTCAACTGCTTCTTCTGGTCCATTTGTTCGGTAGATTGTTTCACTCCCACGATGGTAAAACACTTTTTGGTATTTTCTGCACACATTGAGAAGCGTTTTAAATTCATGTAGGTGGAAAAGGTATGAGCTGTGAAAGCTAAAACAGAGGATCAGGAATCTGGATTTAAGATGCTGGAAACCTGAGCTGCGTTGGATTTTTTTTTTCCTCTCTGTCATCAACTATATCTTCTGTTTGGTCTGTTGGATCAATCAAATGAAAGTGACACTGTGATGATTTCCTCCATCCAGGGTTGGATGTGTGTGTGTGTGCATGTGACGTTGACCTTTTGGAAACTCCGGCTGGGATTCTGGGACACACACACCTGTTTTTCAGGAGTTGTGAAAAACCACACATAGACATAATGCATCCACTAACATCCTACCCTAATCTTAACCCTTAACTTAACCCAATCAGAAATTCTAACCCTAAGTCTGGACTAAATATTAAACTTTAAAATACCTGCTTTCCTGGTATGAATGTAAAAAATGTTCCCAAAGGATGAGCATTTTACAAAAAAAAGTACCCCAAAACACACATACACGCGCACTCACACACACACACACGGCAAAGATGGGTGAACAGCATTTTCAAATGTACAGCTGGAAACCACTTATTCTCATCCTCTCCTTCTCTTAAATGTTACCTATTTTTAATAGTCTAACACACCACTAGAGAGCGTTCACGTACCACTGGTGGTTCGCGTACCACAGTTTGAGAACCACTGGTCTAGCAGTTTGAAGTTCTTCAAGCAGTAGCAGGTGTGTGTGTGTGTGTGTGGTAATGCCTGCATTTACAATCATATGTGAACCATGGACCTTAACAGGACTACAGGTCTTGTATTTGGGTCGTAGAATGTGTGTGTGTTTATGAGAGAGAGAGAGATAGAGAGAAAGAGAGAGAGAGCCGGTGTGTGTCAGGTATTCCCTGACTGGCTGCTGATGCTCAGAGTGTAGACAGATAAACAATCAATTATGTAGAGCCTGTCAGCGGGGAGTTCTGGTTCTGGCCGACTCTCCCTCTGTTTCAGCCACAACAACATTCCTCTGAACAGAAGTTCCATCCAAACAAAACCAAAATGGCTCACTTCATTAAAATCCCAAACCTTCACACTGCACATTCTTCAAAACTTCTCCTTGTCAAAGTAAAGTTACATTTTTCTCATTAAATGATGATGTTCTTGGAGTGTTAACACTGGAGAGAACTCAGGGCAGAAAACTTCATTTTTACTAAAAAAAATGTAAAACAAGACACAGTAGGTGTCAGTTAGATTAAATGTAAATCATTTTTAATTGCAATTCTTGCATTTTGGTTACTGTTTCTGCTAAGAAGTCGTTCTTTGTACTGAACCCAATGGGTTTCAACAATTTGTTTCTGAGATAAAGTTAAGTACAACCAACCAAGAAAAGGTCAAAAACATATTGATTTTGACTCTGCTACCACATACTGTACTGTAAATATAAATAAAAATCATAATATCAAATAATAACATTTATCTTTTCCCCATCATTTTGTTATCAGCCTCTCCCTCCTCCATCTCTGTCTCCGATCTTCCCTCTCCTCTCATCCCAGCACTTCCTTCGTTCCTCTGACTCCAGGCCTGGTTATCGCACGATGACAACAAGGACACACACACTCTGCCTTCGTCACCGGCACACACACGTCTTCGTGAACCCACCTTAGAACGTCCTCCTTTAATATCATTAAAAGCGGAGCACAACCAATCTGCTGACCTTTCATGGATTAGCTGCTAATCTCACAAAGCTAGCAGCACCTCAGGGCACTTTGGGGAAATGTGGTCAAAGCAGAGGGGCAGGAAGGAGGGAGGAACCTTGACCTTCAAGATCAGGGATAAGGTGTGAGTCCAAGAAAGGGGCAAAAGAAAGTTGTTTGTGTTTCTCTCTTCCGGTTTTCTAGTTGCCTCTGCTCAGCCGCATGGATGACAGACCTAAAAGATCTGAGCAAAACCAAGGCAACATAAGATGACGTAAAATCTCTGAGAAATAAATCCAGGAAGCTGATCTTTGTGTGTATTAACACAATACTGGAAGGCTACATAAAACATTTGACCATGGGCCGCAATTGGTCCCTGGGCCGGACTTTGGCCGTGCCTGAAAGAGCCGCAGTCTGAAGCATGTCCTCCTGAGCAGGTGGATTGATTCACATACACAACACAGTAATACATGTGGAAATATAGCAATCAATACCAGCCCAGTGTTTCTGCTGAGCACGGGGTCTGTTAATTGTCGAAAGCCATTGAGAATGATAGAGGGGATTGTATATCACTTGAATGTAGCGTGTCAATCGTTACTAAGAGGGCTGGTTTAGTGTTTCCATCAACATCCACATTATTTCATCCACAGGTGTCGGGGAGGAAGCAGCCGTCCCCCAGGTCCATTTTCAAGCAGATGTTCACATTTAATTATTAGGCAATAAAATCCTGCTGCTACAAGTTGTTATTTTCTCATTTTTATTGTAAATTACAGCGAGGAGTACAATTAGTGAGAGAGAAAAAAAATCCACAT